GAGAGACCGTCAGCTGCTGCTGGTAGCACATCAGCATTCAGATCAGTTTGAGGTTGGTAGTAAGGACGAGTACGACACAAGGGGACGTTCTAGTGTTATGTGGGATATTTTAACATCAGCCCAGATGAAAAAAGTTATTTTAGTACAAACAAATCAGAATATATTCATATTCAGTCATGGATGACGTGTTATTTACATTTAGAATATAATAGCCTCTAACAACATACTCTGACATGTAGATCAATTGTAAGTCGCTTTGGATAAAAGCGTCAGCTAAATTAATAAATAATGTAAATGTAACTGAGCAGACAATTAAATCTGTGCAGCCACTTAAGTCAGTGCTGTTATAGTATCTGTATCGAAGCTGCTCTACTGTCCACAGATCAGAAAACTGTTCAGTCATTATTAAATACACAGAGCTAGTAGGGCTTTGCATGAAGCCTCAACAATAATCTAAATATATATAGAGCATTAAGAATTGGAAATTATCAAAAGTTGGCACTGAATCTAGGCTGTTTTCACTTTGATCAGATATTTCTTGATATAAATCACTATTTTTATGTTGTTATTTTTTAATGGAGGCAAAGTTCTTGTACAACTACAAAACATAAAATAGGTTTTGGTAGAAAAGTTTTCCTCACAGAAAGGTAAAAACAAAAACAGGTGTTGCCACCAGTATTTCAAACTATACCCACCCCTATAAGCTAGTAATGTATATAATAATGCACTAATGTACAGATGACAAAACATTTTCACCTCATTCACACTTTAATAGCTGTTCTGGAGCTTTCGACTGTATCACATGGTCTTCATCAGGAGATTCAGTTTGTGCCATTACTGTGACACAAATTATGTGGTCAAAAGCTTCAATAACAGTCTGTGAAGGTTCTCAGTCATCCAGGTCATAGTTATCCAACGAAGGTTGAGGTCAAGGGCAACTGGGCTTGGTTGAAGATACTAGAAGACGTTTTGTCCGTCATCCAAGAGACTTCTTCAGTTCTGACTGACTGGTAGGGAAACTCAGCTATTTAACCTCTGTGATCGTTAGCTAGGATCGTCGATACCTCTGGTTTGTAAGTGCTCTTGGCTGTGGTAACGACAGTCGTCATGGTTGTTTGAGCCACCCATGGCCAAGTCTGAACACCATCGTTGGCATCTTCACCTGAGGCCAAGAGGAAATGCTTGTTGAGTTTCCTGGGAAGTGATGAAAGGACAGCATTGTAAGTGGGGGATAAGTAGTGGCGTAGACCCCTCCTCTATTCAGTGACGGCTTCTCAACCCAGGTGTAGATGGCTTCCTTGACACCTCTTTCAAACCCTCCATCTTCTCTGTCTAAAATGTGCACCTGTTGTGTTTGTTGAAAATCCTCCTGAGTTTCTCTGATACTCCAGACACGTATGGAATCACAATGTTGTTGCGTTTGACCTTCTTCTTCTCATCCCCTGTAGTTTTGTTCTTCTTCCTGGATTTTGTGGCTGTTTTCACAAAGGTCCATTTAGGGTATCCACGGGCTCTAAGTGCCCCCTTCAGGTGGTTCTGTTCCTTCCCTCTGGCTTTTGCACTTGTTGGTATGTTTTCCGCTCTGCGGTGCAGTGTTCTGATGACCCCTTGCTTGTGTTCCAGTGGGTAGTGGGAATCAAAAAGTAAGTATTGATCCGTGTGTGGGGGTTTCCTGGACACTCCAGTGTGCAGGCTCCTGTCCTTTTCAATGTGAACAGCACAGTCCAGGAAAGCTAAACTGTTGTTGTGGACATCTTTTCGTGTGAACTTAATGTTACTGTCCACGGAGTTGATGTGTTCTGAGAGGGCTTGCAATTCTTGGGTTTTAATTTTGACCCAAGTGTCATCGACATACAGTATCTGTACCAGCGGCTCGGTGCTGTTCCTCTGAAGGAGTTAAGGGCTTTACCCTCCACTTCTACCATGTAGATGTAAGCCACAATAGGTGACACTGGTGAACCCATGGCATAGCCATGCTTTTGTTCTGTAGACTCCTCCATTGTATTGGAAATAGGTGGTGTTTAAACAGAGGCAGAGTCATTTACAGATCTGGTCAGGGCTGAGGCTGGTTCTGTTGTCCAGGGTGTTGTCTTGTAGTAGCCGTTTCCTTACCGATTCTATTGGCTCCATGGTGGGGATGCAGGTGAACAAAGAGGTCGCATCATAGGACACCATGGTTTCATCTGGGTCCGGTTTCAGTCCTCGAATTTTGTTTCAATGTGGTGGGGTGTGTTACCAACACACTAAGACAGATACTGGTAAACCCCAAAGACCACACACCCAATGCAAGAAAAGCAATCTAGTGTATGCGATCCAGTGCAGTGAGGAATGCACAGAACTGTACATTGCATGGCTCAACACAGAAGGGCCAACTCCTCAGGTCAAGACTCAGCAGCTTATTTACATCTGAAGGATAAAGGACACTTGTTTGAGGACCACCAGGTGCACATTTTAGACAGAGAAGATGGAGGGTTTGAAAGAGGTGTCAAGGAAGCCATCTACACCCGGGTTGAGAAGCCGTCGCTGAATAGAGGAGGGGGTCTACGCCACTACTTATCCCCCACTTACAATGCTGTCCTTCATCACTTCCCAGGAAACTCAACAAGCATTTCCTCTTGGCCTCAGGTGAAGATGCCAACGATGGTTTCAGACTTGGCCATGGGTGGCTCAAACGACCATGACGACTGTCGTTACCACAGCCAGGAGCACTTACAAACCAGAGGTATCGACGATCTAGCTAACGATCACAGAGGTTAAATAGCTGAGTTTCCCTACCAGTCAGTCAGAACTGAAGAAGTCTCTTGGATGACGGACAAAACATCTTCTAGTATCTTCAACCAAGCCCAGTTGCCCTTGACCTCAACCTTCGTTGGACTTCAACAACAGCTACTAAATGGACCTTGATTTGAGATTGTTTTTACCAATCAAGAATAAACTTGAACCACAACAAGTGTAAGCATTTTACACAAGTTCCCTGATTTTATATTGTTTCCATCGTGAGCTCCTTCTCTTTGATAAGAACAACCTCATCCCCGTTCATGCAGCTCATCATCTGCAGACCGTCCACCCACGTGTGACAAATGTGTGTCCCGTACCTGTAAAAAGGCGTTGAGTGGCAGGGCATGAGGAGCAGGACGTCCGGCCGCGAGGGAGTGGAGGTGCTGCTGACGTCACAAAGTGTTTTGGAGACGGCTCATGACATCCAGAGTGCCTCGCTGGTGGATCAGGCCGGTGTACAGCGCCGCAACCAGGTTACTCGCCAACAAGACGAACGCAGCAGCTCGTCGCCACGCTTTCAAGTTAGCCAAAGATATCCCTATAGCAGAAGAAGTATAAATACACACACCCAGCTGTTCTTTACCGCAAAGAAATTTTTCATGAGAAATTAAGGAACTTACCACAGAACACCATACAGAACGGCAACACCGGGTAGATGAACCTGAACTCCTTGTGAGGAAGCAAACTGGAGCAAAAGATTTAAACATGTCAGTTTGTCAGCCGAGCATAAAAACATCTTGACCAACCAGGACCTGCTCCTCAAAGTGCGTGAAGTGAAACACGGTGGCGGTTCTGACCACCAGTAGCACTATGGAAGAATGTTTTCATGAGAGACTTCCTGTTTTGTTTCATCTCACGTCCGCGACACACAGTCCTGCCAGTTGTTTCACACTACTCCACTGATGACAGGTGGCAGCAACGCATCAGTAAAAACATAAATGCACGAGCAAAGGCAGTAAGGAAGAAGACAGCTAGCAAGTCAACGATACAGGTTTCAAAATTATCCCCCACAAAATGAGGAAATAAATTCACGTGACACATTTGTTAGAGCTTCAAGGAAATGCACTTTGTGACTAACAATGAACGTAAACATAACTCTCTTTACAAGAAAACTCCACAGGGCATCTTTAAAAAATGAATTAATTAAGTATTAAAACGTATTTATGGAATTTATTTGGACATGTTTAGGAGAGCTCCAGAGGACTGAATTGTTAAGAGTAGATTTGAGATGACTAACAGCGTAGAAACAGATGTGAACACCTTCTGGAAAATGTTTTTGAATGACTGTATGAAATATTATTAGTTTGTTACCTGAAGCAACACGAGTCATTCAGAACAGGATAATGGACTATTTGCAGCTGCTGCTTTCTTGTAAGCTGCTATCTCCAGACACATGTTTGATAGGATGTTATACCACTTACCATCTGTTATTTTATCCCTATTAGATTACTGCTTATTTCTCACATTTATTGCCACTGGAGCCACAAAGAAAATCCACAATAATAGCATATCACTGAGAAAGTTTGAGGAATGTTGTTGTTGACAGTAAATAATGGCATGTTATACTTACTCTGAGCACAAATGTGATTAATCATGTGATCTCTTGACAGCTGCTCTTAAATGTTACTCCAACATTTCACAATTATGTCTTACTCTTCACTTTCAGCAATAACTCTTTCCCTCCTGAGTAGGGCTGGGCAATAAACCAATAGTGATAATTATCGCGATATAATATTCCTCAATAACAATATAACAAATGTTCAATATATCATCAACAAATGTTTGATTTAATTCATTTGAATCACTAATGAATTTGCATTTAATTTTTCTACTAAAATATTTATTTTGTTGAGGAAAAGGGACTGAAAAACGATTTACTAATCATATTTGTTGAAATTTTTTTTTAATCAGAATCATTCCACCTCAGATTTGTTAAGTGATCCACTGTTTGGCATCAAGTGTTTGTCACGTTCTGACCATAAAGAAAAGTTTAACCACATAATTAGCCATCTGATTTCTTCAACTTTTAAATCAGAAACAAAAGTCAGCCTTTAAACTTGAAAGAAATAATGATTTGATATTTATCATGATAATTATCGATATCGAGTATAATTCATAATATAATATGAAATGTCTTTATGGTGATAACATGTTTGGCGATATCGCCCAGCCCTACCCCTGAGTTTCATCAATACGAGCCCATCAATGAGAACGCAGACATTTTACCTGTAAACCACAAGTGTCCAGACGACTGCTGCCAACAGAATCTTGTATCTTTTGAAGGCGATGGTGCACCCATGGAGAAAGAGTGGAAGATGAGGGCCGATCACGACAGCAAACCCCTGAGTGAAGTACCAGTGCCAGGGATGAGAGCCGTAGAAATCAGCCACGCCATAGAAGATGTTAAACCTCAGGAAGTTGAACTGCACCATGGTCCACTGAAAAACAGAGAGCGCAGCTGTTACATTTGACTTCATCAGCAGCAGTTACTGTCATTTAAAAATCACATCTTTTACCTTTTCATAGAATATGCAGTCGATCACAGTTGAAATCACAACTGCCACAGCTCTGGAAATAAGGGGTAAATGGATTATAGCTATAAAAGACACAGAGATTAAAAAAAGTAAATGTTTAGGGGAGATTAAAAGTACAAACCCTATAGGAATGAAGTTATGCGTGATGAGTCTCAGTTTGTTATCTTCCTGCCAGAAATGGTACATCAGCAGAGGAAACCAGACAATGAGGGCTGTCGGTCGAACAATGACAGCCAGGGCGACCAGGGTCAAATACTTTTTGCTGGAAAAACATAACAGTGTCTGTAAATTATCTATTTTCAGAGAGGGGGCACTTAGAAACAAGGAAAGCTGTAATGAGTCTAGACCTGCTGTGTGTTTTGGACCCGGGCAGGGGAAAGTAAAACAGAGCCAGAGAAGTGATGGTGGTCTCCATGCTGTTGGTCAGAGTCCTCGTGCAGCAGTACCAAGAGAACCACGAGCACAGATGGCAGAAGAACTAATAAAACAAGGGGAAACCGTGAGGAATGTCTTGTATTTTAGGTGACTAGAGACCAGAGACAGCATGGAACTGCAAGAAAGACACCTCAAAATGTGTTCAACAAGTGTGCATAGTCTCCTCATGATTTCACACTGTTTATTATTATTTACTGTATTTGTTTTTTTATGCTGTTTGTCCTGCTGTTTTTAATGATGGATGGAAATGCATCCAAAACAATCCAAAACAGTTTTTTAAATGTAAAGAAAAGTCAAGGTAAAAGACAACAAAAACCCCACTGAATAATGTACAGCATGGATAATATTACAATACACATAAAAATACAGATTAACCATGTTTGGTGCGCTTAAAATCATTTCTGCGTTCTCCATTCATTACAATAAAACACTTTCCTCAATTGTATTCTCCTCAAATTAAAACACAATCTGCATACGGTCAGATGAATCACAGCGTATACAAGTAGACGCTTTACCGTCCATTTTGCAACATCACGACTTTCTAACGTGCGGATGAGGAAGTAGAATTTCACGTCTGCGAACGCAGCCAGGAGCGCTTGAATTATTCGTGGGAGCCATATCTGCAAAACCAACCAGACCAGGATGAGTGAACCAAAATGACTTTAGAAATTAATTTGGTCAAAGACATGCTGATATAAAAGTTGTGAGTAGAAGATGTGTGAACTTGCCAGGAGATAGACTGAGTCGTAGTTGATGAAGTGTAATGTCTTATATATGAATGCAAAGAAGAGTGGATAGAAGAATCCTCTTAGTCCTGCCTTCCATTCCCACGTCAGGTACCCATAAGTCACACTGTTAAGGTTGTTAACAGCATAAAATATAATAATAAGAAGAAAAATACTATCAAGGTTTGGTTTCAGCCTCACACATTAAAGTTTTACTTGTTAAACTTGAATACAGCTTTTTTATGTTAATTTTCACATACAGACATACAGCAGCAATCTGAAGCGTTTATTTACATGTGATTTCTAACTTTTCTACCTCTGCATATTTTTTTTCCTCCGGCTTATTCTAGCCTTGTTAATATTGTTTTATCCGTTGCCTGATTGTGTTTTGTTTCGTCTGCAGCTATATATTAGATCAACGTGGCCAGGTGTCCTTTGCAAGAGAGGTTCCCAACCTCAATACTTAGCCTACCTGGTTAAATAAAGACGTAAGGTGTGGGAAGAGAACCCGAAATCATTAAAAGTTACAGGATGAGACCATCTGAACAATGGAGACAAACTGATGTTTGGGTTGCTGCAGATTAAACTATTTGAATACACCATTTTGGGATGTGAGAATCTGATGATCATTATTGATCAAAAATTGTGAATGAATATGTTAATGAGAACAAAAATACACATTAATATACAATGAACGTTTTTCTTACAACCGCCCGCACTGCTGCAGGTGATAGTGTCAAAGGATATTTGAAGACCATATGATGGGAGACCTCCAGAGACTGCCAGTACTCATCGGGGACGAAGCTGGTCTGGACCAGAAAGCAGTTGATCAGCCTGAACGCCACAGAAAACACAACAACTCTCAGCACACCTGTGGAGTAAAAAGGTCACTTCATATTAGCAATATTACTCCTTTATTTCCACCACGCAGCACACAGGTGTAATGAAAGTATCACTATCCTGTCAGGGGACCCACCGTTGTTAAGAGGGGATTCATCTTCCTTTGCGTAAAGTTGAGATTTTCTTTTCCTAAGTTTTACATCTTCGACTTTATTCCCTGTCAATTTCAGACGTGATCGGATATTCTCCATCAGGACATTGTGTCTTTCGACTTAGCAGCTACACCTGTCAGGAGGCAGGTCAGGTATGTTAAGTGAGATTCAGGAGCTGATTGAACTCTTCCACACAAGGAAATCAGGAACAATGAATTTTAAATACACGAGATTAACACAAACTATCAGCAGTTGATCAGGTGCTGCAGGTGAACAACCTTTCGTTTATTTAACCAGCAGTATTAAACTTGTACAGCTTCCACTAAGCGACATGACTTTATATTAACGTCCAGCGGCACAAAGTGGAAGGAGCTCAGAGGTTTGGCTGCACTTCCGCACTCAGAGTTACTTCCGGTGGACCATTGTTTCCCGACTTCAAAGTAAAGGTCCAGTCCGATCGATGAGCCTCAGAGACGTTTGGGCAAATTTTCATCTGATAAATATAAAGTAAGTATAAAGGAACATTTCACAGAGCAGAAATTAAGGAAATGTTAAATAGGACCAAAATAAAACTACTCACGGTAAAAATTATAGATACAAAAGACATCACTCAGATTACATCACTACTATGATATGAGAAACTAAAAAATAATTGAGTTTGAATTACAGCATGCTAAGGTCAGAGTTTGGACTTGAGTAAAATAGCATATCAAAATGTTTAATTTTTACTGACACAAAACCGCTTAGTTATTAATAACCATCTCAAAGTGGTGACTTTGTAAAAAATTGTGATTTTATCTTAATTGGCAACTATTTTGATAATCGTCATAAAAGTCATTTCATGCTTCCAGCTCCACAAAGTGAGGATTTACTGCTTTCCCTTTTAATTAGTTGATTAACTTAAAATGTTGTACTATTAGATCAACAAAACAATGTGATGGTGTCACTTTGGGATCTGGGTTACTGTGATGGCATTTCTCACTAGTTTCAGAATATAACAAACCAAACAATCAATTGATAAAACAGATTAATCCATAATGAAAATTATTTAATGGTAATAATATCATTAGTTGCAATCCCATATAAAATAGTTAAAAAATTAGTTACAACAGCAAAATCCTGCTTCTAAATCACTGCATGAGTAAAAATAAACTAATGAAGTAACAACATTTACAGGGAACATTTTTCTGCATTGAGTACCAACAGACCTACTTTAACTAATGTTCCTAAATATACTTGCATACATTTTCATGCATCCATCCACCGTCAACCGCTTATCCAGGTACACCCTGGACAGGTCGCCAGTCCATTGCAGGGCCACACATAGGCAGACAACCACTCACACTCACATCCACACCTAAGGACAATTTTGGAGACACCAATTAATCTAATCTGCATGACTTTGGATGGTGGGAGGAAGCCGGAGCACCCGGAGAGAACCCACGGGGAGAACATGCAAACTCCACACAGAGAGGCCGGGGCAACCGGGGTTCGAACCCACGACCTTCTTGCTGTGAGGCGACAGTGCACCACCGCGCCGCCCCTTCTACCACTACTTAAATGATTTAAACTCAAGTTGCAGGAAGCTGCACTCTCCGCTAGGTGGCGAACTGTAGCTTCTTCTGCCAGAATTCAGAGGAGAAGAAGAAGAAGAAGAAGAAGAAAGCTTTCATGCTGCACACAAGTCAACTTGGCGTATCTTGTGTTTTTGCCTCTGTGTTTTTCTGTCTGTCTGTTTGGTGATTCCACTTCGAATAAACTGCTTCCTCGGTGAGTTATGAATGTTACAGAATCGCCTCTAAACCAACTTAAAATGTCATGTGTACGTTGTATTCAGATAAACGGTGAGGAAACGGTCAAGCTAGCAGGCGCTTTGTGATCAACCGGTCTGTATTTTTCAAAATAAGACTCATTAAAATATAATTACTTCTATTTGAAAAAAGTTTTGCAGTCAGTGAAAACAATCACCTTTGTAATGCACAATAGTTTGTTTGACCATAGTGCACATTATTGTGGCAGACTAATGATTCTATTGAGTTCATGCTGATTGATTAATTGAAGTATCTATCCTAGTGCAAAATATACGTGTTTGATGATGACTTAATCATTATACCTGTAAATATTAGGTATTTTTTTCAGTTAATACTGCCATTACCCTAATGCATAGGCTTTGTTCTAAATGCATAAAATAAATAAAGTTTTTATTATTATTTTATATTTAGCTTATATGATAAAGACTATAGACTCTTAACAATGCATGTCAGATAGCATATGGAGATGGGCAACTGTTCAGTTTTCAGCCTCAGCTTCAGTTCTCCTTGGATTGTAGTGCCATGAGTCTTGGACTGTCTTCTGGACTAAGCACAATTTTGTCTGAGGGTGGTAGAACATGGACTACCTCACACTCTATTACTTATAAAAATAGTTTTTATCTCTGGTTTAGGGAAGTGTGAAATACAGTGGTGACTCCGGATGTACTATTAAAACAATAGCGTTGGTCCAGTGCAGCCAGCAACACAGCAGTTATCTTGCACTGTGTATAGGGTAGTTACATCCATGCAGTAAGTTATGCTTAAAGTTTTGCAGGAACATGTAACATTCAACAGAGCACAGGAGATGCAAAAGGATAAAAAGATTTGTACATTATAATTCTGAGTTAGCAGATAAAGTGTCTTGGATAACACGACTTTACTCTTCTTCTTCTTTAGGATCATCTTGTGTCTCAAAATTGGAATTTCATATAAAATAAGTCATGTTTAGAAGAAGAATACCCTTCACACAGATGGCCTTCGCCACACTGCTTGGAGTCGCAGGTGGTATTTATATCTACAGACCGTATTTTGAGCCGGTGCTGAAGACCTCAGGACAGCAAAATCAGGATGTGCCAAAGCAACAGGATGAATCAGACTGAAGTATTTCATCACTCCCAGGAAATACTTACCAGAAAATACCAGGAAATACCAGAAGAACTAGATCCGAGGCTGCTGAAGGCCAAAACAAAGACAATGCCAGCATGGATAAATTCATGCATCTTTGTAGTTTCTCATATGATTATTAATGTACAAAAATAAAATATTTAATAATTTCACCTCCTAAATTATCATTTTTTTAAATGTCACATGTCATTATACATCTCTGTATTCATTTCCAAAGCTTACAGTGGGAAGTACTTTAAAAATAACCTCACATTTGTCTTACATGTTTTTGCTTGGAATTGAATTGAATTGAATTTTTGAATTGAAATCTTTATTTCAAGAGAAAGTATATAAAAAAATAAATAAAACAATGTTTAAAAACATAGGAGAAAAAGCTGTCCCCTGAACCAAATATGTTTTTATCATCTGAAAATAATACAAAATTCAATACTTAAGGTACTTTACAAATGTCATTGATATATAATAAAAATAACTTTGGTCCCAACGCTGACCCCTGGGGGACACCACAAGCCATGCCCAGACATTCAGATGAATAATCTCCCATCTTCACAAAATGTTGTCTGTCTCTCAGATAACTATAACAGATGAGCAGCAAACAAACTTCAATCACATGTGCGAAAAGGAATCGGAAGAAGTAATACCTTATATACTCCTATCCCTTTAATTCTTACATTCCTTCAAATTACAATATTTATATTTATTATGTTGTTATATACATACATACATCCATACATATATATACACATGCACACACATTTTTTTATATACACAATATTAAAGTGACTACTGATAAGTATTTATTTATCTAACCTCGATTATGTACTTATTCAAACAGCAAAAAATACAAAAAAAAACCAAAAAACAAAACAAACAAAAGACAAAAAAACTAAAAACAAAGGAGCACTCCTACTTTTACTACAGTGCTTCTCGATACCTGCTGAAAATAATTTCTTTGTACATTTTTTTGAAAAGGAATATGTTTGGGCATTGCTTTAGGTTCTCATTTAGTTTGTTCCACAATTTAACTCCGCAAATTGATAAACAATCTTTTCCTTGTTGTTCTAAATCTATTAGTCTTAAAATTTCCCCTTCCCCTTAAAAACGTACCCTCCCTCCCTCTCAGAGAACATCTTTTGGATATTCCCAGGCAATAGGCTACTTCTTGGTTTGAACATGAATACTGCAGTTTGATATTCAATTAGATCATGGTATTTTAGAAATTTAGATTGTAGAAATAATGAATTTGTATGAATCCGACATGGCTCTTTTTTGCATTATGACTAGTGGCTGTAGTGAATGTTGATGAGTGCTTCCCCAAACCTCTACACAGTAATTCAAATAAGGTAACAATAGTGAACAGTACAGGATGTGAAGTGATTTAAGATCCAGAATGTGCTTAGCTCTTGCTAGGACTGCAATACTTCTGGACAGTTTGGTTTTGATGTGTTTTATGTGAGGCTTCCAGCAAATCTTGTCATCTATGATCACTCCAAGGAATTTATTTTCATGTACTCTTTCTATGTTCTATGTTAACACCCTCTATCTGTATCTGTGCTTGATGATTTGACTTACAGTTTCCAAATACCATGAATGTAGTTTTACTCAAATTTATTGATAACCTGTCTATGTCAAACCATTCTTTTATTTTCTTGAATTCTAAAGTGATTGATTCCCAGAGTTGCTGTAAGCTGTCCCCTGAACCAAATATGTTTGTATCATCTGCAAATAATACAAAATTCAATACTTCAGATACTTTACAAATGTCATTGATATATAATAAAAATAACTTTGGTCCCAACACTGACCCCTGGGGGACACCACAAGCCATGCCCAGACATTCAGATGAATAATATCCCATCTTCACAAATTGTTGTCTTTCTTTCAGATAACTACTTACACAGTTTAGAACTACCCCCCTGATCCCGATTCGTTCCAGTTTACTGATTAATATTTCCTGATTTATTGTGTCAAATGCTTTTTTAGATCAATGAATACCCCAACTGTTATCCTCGTTTTTACTGGTTACTTAATGGGTACAATATTTCCCTCTGAAATGTAGTGGAGTCAGAAATAAAAAGAACCAGAAAATGTAAATACTCAAGTAAATTAACGACCTCAAAATTGTACTAAAATAGTAAATGTAACGTTAGTCCTGTTTGTTACTGGTGGCTGTCAGAAAAAAAATAGTGGGGGGGGAACTAGAAAGTACAATATTTCCCTCTGAAATGTATTGGAGTAGAAGTATAAAGTAGCATGCAATAAAAATACTCGAGTAAAGTAACTTGAGGAGCTTAAATGTTCTTCCCCCCTCTGGTTGTCAGGGTTTAGTAACGGCTGTTGTTTCCCCTTTAGCTAACTACAGGGGAAACACCAGCCGTTAGTACTACATGAGCTATCTGTGAGTAAGTTAATGTAACAGCCGTGAGCGGCGTGAGGAGGAGCTGTTTCTCAACAGCACGACAACCCCGGAGAGGGAAGGTGGTGTTCAGTGTTAATGAAGTTGGTCTTATGTCAACTAATGGAGCAGATGCGACGGAGAAAGTAAAGTCTGCAGTTATTCACCTTTCAGAAACGTCTTCAACGGTCACTTCTAACCACTATTTTAACACCACGACACAGTGTGCAGCAACAACGCCCCGGGGCTGGTAAGTATGTTAGTTAAGTTTGTTTCCAGGAAATGTCTGCCGAAGAAATGCGTCTGTAGCATCTGTCAGGAGTTAGCGAGAGTTTTCTTTTAACTTTAATTCACTCGATTGTTTGCGTTAGTGCGAAACTTGGCAGTCCACAAACTGCTTTTAAAATTCACGTAGTCAAAGACCGTTAGCGTTGGGAAACATTTTTACACCTGCTTTATCCTCTTCTCACAGTTGTTAGCTTTTTCCACACTTGCTCAATAATTGTTACAGACCACTGTTTCTACTACAAGTAAAAAACAAGGTTTCCCTCAGCAGGACTTAAAGTTATTAAAATTTATCAAAGAGCTCAGCCATGTTTGGACCCATGTAACGTTAGGCTGCAATATTTGTGACAGAGGAAGCTGGGAAGTTTACATCCAGTGTGGTGTTCTTAGCAGGATCCATATCTGATTATTTGATCACCAGTCAGAGCCACATGAGGACCAGCTGAGGGCCATTAGATCGTTTATTGGTTTCAGTTAATCGATTTGAGTGTTAATTTGTTTGTGTCTCAGTTGCAGTTGCCTTACACTGCCTGGTGCTGCTGCAAGTTATTTTAATGACTAGACAGTTACCAGCCTGCATATTGTCCATATCTGATCACTTGATTTTATTCTGAGATCCTTACACTTCATTATAGTGTTACACTTGTGCTGCACCCTTTCAAGTTTATGGTATGTGCATATCCGGATTTTCCAGAGGAGCTGCCGGGCCTCTTTGTTGGACAGCTGCCCAGGGTGGGTCTTCCACTTCTCCCTGACAAATGATTAAAGCTGCTTTTTGTTTGCTGGTCTGCATGGGTGGTAGTATTTGCCTGGCAAACACAGCTAATAGGTTAACTCCCACTGCAACAAGATATATTAAGGTACTTGTGCTTTATTTAAACTTTATCTAAACAGGAATGCCTCCATTGAGATAAAAAAAAGAATTATTTCAAGAGGCCCTGGCCAAAATATGCAGAAATAAGTATAAGCTACAGACAAACAGGCAGATAACAAAAAAATGCCACACAGTCAGAATTAAACAGAAATGCAGCTGTTAAACGTGGTGTAGTCCTGTTTCCCTGTGAAAAAACTGTTTCTCACACTCATATCAGCCGATACAGAAATGGATTTTATTCATGAAGTCATAGTGCAAAAGCTGGTACAACATGGGTTCATGTATTCAGACATTCTTGTACTAAGGTAATTAAAGCAACATTGTGTAAGATTTGGTACATAAGAATTTTTTATGATTTCATTACTAATGATCAAAAACTAGCAGGTCGACAACTTTGCTAACACAGCCAAACATTAAGTGTGACAACGCATCGCAGTATTACTTACTCGTCCAAGAGAAAGAAAGCCAGCTCGGCATCTTGTAGCCTTTCATTTCACGAAACTCTCGCCAGTGTCGGGCAGCCCCTTGCCTTGGTCACTCTCACCTCCGCTATTAGCTAACATTATGTCCATGGAGGCTGAGGAACCTGGTTATGTGCTTGCCCGGCGCTCTCCAGCAGCTGCAGCAACATAATGTTGCTTGAAAATCATATTAAAATAAATTATGGTGTGATTTTTGAGGGGATTTGTACCAAACAAAGATGTATTCTTGAGTCCTCTAGAAGATGATGTTTTGGCCAGGACATCTCTGCAGCATTACAAGAGTTCATTCAAAATGATATTTTGACACATATATCACCTTTAAACAAATATTGTACCTCCTGAGATTTTTTTGAAAATTGCAGAAGGCCAATTTGCAATTTTCATAACATTTTGATTAATTGTTCAGTCCTAATCCGGTCTCTTGCTCAGCAACTCTCTTTTTCTCTTCCTCGCGTCACCGAGCTAGCTTCTATATTGTACATCATATACTACTTCTGATGGCTAGCTTGCTGAAGAGTTTTGGTGATGTGTGACATGGTGCTGTAAAGCATTATACCGTTCATCATGCACCCTGGGCCGCAGTGGCAATGACAGAGATGCCATTCTCCCTATCATAAGTCAGTGTACCATCAAAATGACTTTGACGCTGTTAAGCTACAATTCCTACATAATGTTGCTTTAAGAAGTTTTTAAAAGAAGGCCGTGATAGTCAGTTTATAATAGTTCCGCACTCTGGGCCAGATTAACCCACTAGGGGGCCACAGGGCAAAAAACGCACTGCGGGGGACCTATTGAATACAGTTCTTTGATCAATATCATCAGTTACATTAGTTCAGCAAGCTGCCAAGTGCATTTTTAAGATCTACTTCTCTGATCAGAAAGTGTGACATTAAATTGTTGCATTTAATGTTTCCAGTAGGACAGCTGTACTAAGTGACATACTCCCATTAAAAATAAAACCCTAATATGTTAGTTGCCAGTAAAGCAAAATAGTTGCTGATAAAGCTGATATTGTCTGAAACACTCAATACTTTAATATATTGTTGCATCTCTATGAATTAAGAATAATATACACACCTCTACATCATTCTGTCACATGTCAGGATAATCATCAGTTGTATGTTTCTGTTGGAGCGGTGCCAGACATTGTTTTTGTTGTTGTTAATGATGCCAACAAATTTGGTTAAGTTAAGCGTCACACTTAGTTTTAGACTGCTATTTAAATGCTGCTTTCCACTGAGAGTCTTAAGCCTGTAGTACAACAGGGCCCCGCTTGTTGTCTGTTAAAAGGTTCTGGGAAACATGAGACTGTCCAGTGTTAATTCTCCTTAACCTAAATTAGTTGAACTCGCCTGCTTTTCTAGAGCATAAAAGGCAATTAGGGAAAGTGAATATATTAAGAAGGTAATTGGCAGACCATGCAACCACAGGATTTACAGCAAAGAAGTCTCAGAGAGGTCTTCTTGCCAACTTTTAATGCGTTCTTAATGTCAGCTCTTTTCCACCTCTTTGACATGAAAGCAGTGTGATTACATTTCAGTTGGAGAGGTCTACATCCAGAATTGTAGGCCAGGTAGGGTCATTGTTGTTTCAGGAAGGTTTGTGTAAGGTGGTAGTGAGGATACGACTTGTTCTTTTTTTGGATTGTTTACTGCACTCAGCTTTTTCTTGCCTAACACAGCGGAAGATCATACTCTGCCATCATAGCTCACTTCCTTTTTACAGCTGATAGGACTGCAAAGTCTAAAATGACCAATAAATATTTCTATAGCATATTTCATACAAGAAACGCAGCTCAAAGTGCTTTATAATAAAGAAACACTTCACATGCTTCATATGAAAAGAGACATATAAAAAACATAAACAGGGATAGGGTGCCATAATTAATGCAATATAAGATGGAAAATTAAACACACTTGATGATAATAATAATAATAATAAAAATCAAGATGAAAAAAATAAATAGAACATAAAATTTTAGTTTTTTACAGAGCTTTGTGTATTAGGCATTTACTTTACTTTCATTAAAACATTCACTTAATATTTGCATCATAGCATTATGCTATTTCTTGTTTTTGATTGGCTCAATGAGGTGTCGTCTGATTAGCCTGATAATAATCTGCAGAAATCTGCTGACACACTGCATCTGCAGCGGTGTGGTTTTGCTTGACTGCATCATTTCTGTGACCTGTTTTCACTGGCACAGAAATCATAAAGTTTTTCTGCCAGGGGTAGTCAATAATGTCAGTAACTTGGGTAAAGCAATGTTTAATCTGAAATGAGAAGGAGTTGTGACAAAGTTAGAAAAAGTACGCTGTATGGCTCCTTAGTGTACATTTTTGTTGACGTATATTATATTAAAAAGTATGAATAGGCCACCTTTTTTTTCACAGGAGACACGTGGACTTGTCGTAGCAGGAGAAGTTCATGTGTTACTAATGAGCGATGCATCAGTTTCATTAATCGTCCAATTAGCCAACACGCACAGTGCCAGGACCCTCGCCTAAATGTGATGCAGCCATACTTAATGTTATTAATTACACCTGTGCTGTGACCTGTGACAAGCAATTGCCAGTTTATTAGGTACACCTAGCTCAAACTAATGCAATCTACAGAACAGGAGGTGTTTGTTTATTTCAGAGCTCCGCTGTCGTCCATGCAAATGAGGTGGACAAAATTTTAGGAACATGGCTCAGTACAAAGCAATACAGTTCAGCAGCACCACAAACTACAGCCTCCAAAATGATGAATGAAAAGTGTCTTTCTTGGATGTTGTTCCAGACTGCATTAGTTTTAGTTATGCATATCTAATAAATTGGCAACTGCGTGTACACACATCAGTGGGCCTTTTTGAACAGAAGATAAGAGGAATGTTGTTTAATGAAAGATCAAATGTGGCAGGAAGTTGTAATTTCTAAGCTAATTAGCTGATTTGCGCGGATATCATGATGAGAGCAGACAGACTGTATCTTTACAGTCTCGCTCTGGGCTACAGTGCTTAAGAACCTTTTTATAGCGGGTATGTGCCTCCCTAATGGCTACATCCTTTTTCTTTCATTAATAACAGAGTGGGGTAGGAATTTAAAACACAGCCATCCAACCTGAGCTTCTTTTAGCAGTCCTGATGGAAACACCTATGGCTTTTGAAAGGTATAAATATAAACTTTGTTTATAACTTTTAACCTACCCGAGTCAAAACAGGCCCACAAGCAGGAATGTGGACTTCATAGTTCTGGGATTCGGTGGTCTTCACTCACCGTTTATCAGTGCTTGTGGCAGCTGTTTCTATCATAGTGCATTTATCATGGATATTGATTTTGCACGAGACCTTAAGCTGCTTACAGCTCCTGATCAAAGGTTTACTGGGGGTTACAGCGTAAGAATGTAAGACTCGTCTGAATACTTTTCTACACACTGGTCATATGATGCAACTCCACTTTTTTTAAAATGTTTTGACCAGGATTGGGCAAGTGAAAATGTTTCATCCAGTAGGTATCATAGTGCGGTTCTCATTCTCATTGTCTAAGTGTAAGAAAAATGTGCCCGTACACTTTTTAAAGTCCTTTAAAATCAACTTGTAACCCAAAATGTGTACAACAAGCTATTAATCTGTAGAGCAAAATTACAACAGCTCTCTTTCCATAGTGATAGTGAACACTAGACAGAGAGTTGAGTGTTGTTGAGTCTTTTTTGGTTTGTGACTTTGGCTGGAGAGAGACTGAGGAATTTAAAATGCTTCCTGTCACTGTGTCAGCAAGATGAAACCGCCCTTACGTTACACACATTAGTCTGCAATGCCGTCAACTGTACAAGTCTACATCTGGAGGTATTGCATAATATTAGGAAAGTGTAAAAAAAATTTTCTGTATTTCTAACTCAAGCAGTGACTTAAGTTTAAACTACACAGTCTGCACCAAGCCTGTTTAATTTATTCCTTTTAAGTTGTGTGGGAAAATGTGGAAAATGAATGCTACACTGAAAGGACCAATAACATTTATAACATAACATATTTATTATTACTATTTATTATCGTTACATTAAGTGTGGGAAGATCTCCCTGTGCTGTGTGTGTGTGTGTGTGTGTGTGTTATTGGCTTGTTGTACCAATGTAATGGGCTTAGAGTATTAGTGTGGTTAAATCTTAAGGTTTGCATCTGTAGCAGGACATGATGTTCCTCTCGTAAAGACAAATATCCTGTAGCATTTGCTTTTATGGCTGTTGTCAGTTGACCTGCAGCATGTGAGGATAGAAGTCATGTAAAGATGAGAGCCAGTACTGCAATTAAATGTTAAATGCATACTGTTAAATCAACCAGTTGGACTGGAAAGACGACATTTGCGCTCTACAATCCTACTGTGTATTCAACATAGTATAAGAAGTTTTGACTGAATGATCTTCAGTAACTTGAGAGAAGAGATCTACACAGCCGTAGTGTTGCCTGATTGGCGCTCCTCTCACGGCTGTGGGGGTATGTACTGGACTGGATTGACTCACTCTCCCTCCCTCTCCTGTTAAAGTAGGACGACTCACCCTGTTATCATTGTCATTGGTGCATGGAGGTTATTCCAAGCTTAGCTTCATCCAACTTAAACAGGACTAGACGTATAACCAGTCAAACACCGTGTGAGCTTGTGCAGGGCCTTGAGTTAACCGTGGTGACTATATAGTGCCCTCAAGACATCCCCACAATGAATGGCAGGGTTCCCACACGTCCTGGGAAACCTGGAAAAACTGGAAAACCGTTGACCAATTTTCCAGTCATGGAAAACACATGGATAAATGAGAGAAGTTTAAATCTTGTGTTGTCCTTTAAAATTATTTTAGCATTACGTTGGAGTTGCTTGGTTAAGATGCGGAAGCGTTGTGAACACACGAGTCGCATCACACGGTAGCACAGGTTGGATGCCATTAGTTGAAGTGACTATTACTACTACTATTACTACTACTACTAGTATTTTGCTATCATTGTCTCTTCAAATGCAATTCTACATTACATGACATGAAGCTTTTTAGCCGTAGCTCACAGTGGGTTGTAAGTAGCTTCGTTAGTAAAGGGGCTAACATATGGTGTGATGTGATGATATGGTTTGATTCAATTTTCTATTGTGATGCGTTACATTACTTTTGATATTTGCAAACCTTGGAAGCAGTCCCAGTTTGTTGACTGTATTACACTTCCATATCAATACACCAAGTTTGTTTTTTAAATGAAATGTGGCGTCATGACAGTGGTTCAACAGACGTACAGAGGGTAACATCAGAAATAACCTTTTGTACTGTTACACTGCATTTGGGCTAAGGACCACAGTGATTTTAGAAAGTCAGATCATCACTGAAAATGTCCTGGAAAAAGATTTCTAGTAAAGGGCGTGAACCCTGGATGGGGAAAAAATTTGTGTATGTATATTTTTCTTGTCAACAAATCTCATGAAAAGACCCAAACCGGCATTACTTTAGTCTCCTCCTTAACTCTCTCGACCTTCCTTACCCTGTCTGAAATCTTTAAAAACTGGCTACAAATATATAGTGCATTTCCTGGGGACTATTTGCAGGGGCAGATGAGTACACATTTGGTGTGGAGTGAGTATTTACAGCAGCACAACTGTATGGCAGATTGATTGAAATAAACTAATATTTAGCGTTACAGTTTCACTGTCTTCACTGCGTCAGTTAGGGAATAGAATAAATACAGTTTCATTTTGAGGTTTATTTCTTTGCCAAATAGTGTGACTGTTGTTTGACTTGAGTTGTTTTGGTTGTGTGTTTTCAGAAATTAAGCACTCGCTATGTCTGATGGGGACTATGATTACCTCATCAAGTTCCTAGCCCTTGGTGACTCTGGCGTGGGTAAAACGAGCTTCCTCTACCAGTACACGGATGGCAAGTTTAACTCCAAGTTCATCACTACAGTTGGAATAGACTTCAGAGAAAAAAGAGTGGTAAGAAAAACGTTTCTCAAGCCAGCCTTGGATTTGTTGGGATTTTCCTTCATTCATTACTTCAGTAAAAGCACACAGGGATTTCATGCTCCGCACTTCTGATGTAACAGTTCCTTGTGTCTATGTGTGCTACAAGCATTTATGGCTTTCTAATTAGGGGCTTGCATGCATTCCCACACCATTAAGTAACTCTTGTGACAAAAGACTAATCATGGATGTTGCGACAGAAGTAATGACTAATGTTGGTGAATGGCAGGCAGCACCCTCCTTAAGAATAAACACTTCATACCATTAGCAAACAGCTGAGCAGTGTTCGTATTTACTCAATATTCACTCTTTAATGCTGCTGACCTCCAGCTCAAACAATGAATATGTATAACGAGATGTCCAGTGGTCAGAGGCATACAGCTGCTAGCAACTACTTTTAAGTGTTTTAAACACAATGTTTAAGCTTCAACATGTTTCAGTAGCTGCCTTTGCTGGCTACGGAAGAGTGTTTATTGCCCCCCCCCCCCCCAAGAATGACGCACTGTTGAATAGATCAAAGGATAATATCTGAATGAATTAAAAGTGCCGTGAAATAAATTACTTCTTGGCAGTTAAGTCTGAGGACTTTATAAGTTACTACCCAGACTGTGAAACCTCAATTACAAAATTTCTACAAGCAGCCAGCGTCCAGCTTACCACGAAACACCTGATTAATGCTGCTGCTAATCTTTTATAATAAACTCAAATCAGAGAGAGCTTTTTCATGTGTGGATTAAAAATGTTTGGAAATAAGCCCAAATAAAGTTGTTTATCAGAAAGGAGATTTTAAACCACTGAAATACAAGTAATTGTAAAATGTAATTGTTGTGGAGGAATAAAAGAGATATAAGGCTGATAGTGGATGTTTTGATTATTACTGATTATTGGCATACAGATCGAAAAAACAAATGTTCAGTGACAGCATGCTTGCACACACTATGACCATAGACTGTGTATAAAAAGACTATGACTCACACTTAAATATACGAATATGCATAGTTATTTTATAGTTACCTTAATCATTAAATGTGTATATGTACATCTTATTTTTCTCCTCTGGAACCTTATTATGCTGCTGTCTGGGCCAGGTCACCCTAGTAAAAGAGAACACTGATCTCAACGCGTCTTACCTGGTTAAAGTTGGGTAAAATAAAAAAATAAACGATGGCATTTGGTGTCTCTCATCAGAGACCTATTTAGATTTTTTTTTTTTAATTAATTAAATAGAGCAGCTGGATGGACGTTGCCAAGCATGTCTAGTCATTCTTGTTTTGTTTTTTCTAAACTAAACTCTATTTTACAAGTTCCCTCTTTCGAGCCGTCATTAGCAACAAGCTGTCTTCACACCACACGTTCGATCCAGATCGAAATTTTATGTTTTTGTTATTAACTATGTTGTTGACTGTTTATATCAGATTTATGATCGGTTAAATTTAGCGCAGAGAACATCCAGTCACTTTGACTTCACTTGTCTCTGTTTGACTCAGGTATACAAATCAACGGGTCCAGATGGATCTACAGGTAGAGGACAGAAGATCCACATGCAGCTGTGGGACACTGCGGGACAGGAGAGGTACATGAAGCACTTCTGCTAACGCTTTCTCACCTTGCTCAGCCCTGGTCTTGTCTTCAAGTTGTTTTCAAATGTGTCTTTTCCACTATTAATTACACTTTTCATGAAGTGTTTTATTTGTCTTTTCTGAATGGTGTCAGGTTTCGGAGTTTGACGACGGCCTTCTTTAGAGATGCAATGGGTTTCCTCCTCTTGTTTGACCTCACAAATGAACAGAGTTTCCTCAATGTCAGAAACTGGATGAGTATGTCCTCTGATATATCACAGTAAACATACACGTATAGTCATTAAACTGATGATTCTATCAAAAAAAATAGTTCAGATTCAAGTGCACAGGAGATTTGATATTAACTTCCTTGTTGACCACCGAAACACTTCCAGTGATTGATGACCAAACACTTGTAGAATTGAAACAAGGATGTAGTTAGACCCAAAATATTGTGTAATAAATGTGTAATCTTCCAGTTATTAATAATTCTTTTTGACCTGAACTACTGCTACTACTGTGCTCAGGTGTCTTATTTCAGGTGAATATAATACACAATATATAAAATAATGCCTCTATCTTTCTCAGAAGTTAAGATAGTACACATTAAAACAGGGCTAATACATAATAAATCGCTGAATGTGTCTTTCAGGTCAGTTACAGATTCACGCATACTGCGAAAGTCCAGATGTCGTTCTGTGTGGCAACAAATCTGACCTGTCAGATCAGAGAGCAGTCAGTGAAGAAGAGGCCCGTGAACTGGCAGAGAAGTACGGGTATGTCTCAGGTTTGATCCATCTGTACATGAACCTCTCCCTCAAGTGTTTGTCAAGAAGGCAGTGGCTGCGTTGTTTGCCAAAGTCTGTGCAGGAGAATGTCACATTAAATTGGTCCTCCTCGAAAAGCAAATATTTGTGCACATTTGTAAAAATATCCTGCTCTGTCACTATTAGACACACCTTTTACTAAAAACACAGATATTGCACTGTAACAAATGTTTTACGACCTTCAAGGGAAGAACAAACCTCAGCATTAATTATAACCCAAACCTGACTCTGCTGGACTGTATGTGTTGTTTCTCATGATTGGTATCTTAAACTGTTTAGCCATTCACCTGTTATTCCGTAAAGTTTTCAAAAACAACAGTGTCCAGCTGTTAAAGGTTCAGTGTGTAAGGTAATAAAATCATAATGGTTCATTATGTAAGGTCTTTATCCACTGAAAACATAGTTACGGATATTATATTGCATTTCTGTCAATACATCATCAAGGAAATGACTGAGCTGATTTATATCGTCAGTAGGAGTGAATGGGTTTGGGACTGAGCAACACAGAAGGCTGGGGAATGTGGAAAGTATTGAGAGAAAGACTAAATTTAGATTAGAAATTAGATAAATTAAATTATATAGATAAAATATAATTAAAATTTAAATAAATAGTATAACTATTTTTTTCTCTTCACCTAAACAATTGTGTTGTATTGTAACTGGTAGCAGCAGTCTGTGCACCCGTGTTTGATAACAAACAAATAAGTATTTTCTTCAATGCAGAATCCCATACTTTGAGACAAGTGCTTCAAACGGGCAGAACGTCAGCCTGGCCGTGGACGTCTTGCTGGATCTCATCATGAAGAGGATGGAGCGATGTGTTGACAAGTCCTGGATCCCTGATGGGACCGTCCGAGCTAATGGACCCACGAACCCAGACCTCTCACAGGCCTCTGATAGGAGCAAATGTGCATGTTAGACTAATGATGAGCCATTTTGGTGATATGTCTGTGTTGATAATAGTGGTGAAAAAATAGGAAGATAACCAAGTTTAACATACATACATACATACATACATACATACATACACACACACACACACACACTCACACACACTCACACATACACACACATACACACACATACATACATACATACATACATACATACACACATACATACACACATATATGTGTGTATGTATGTATGTGTATAGTTATGTGCCCATAGCCCCACCAACCAGTGCATTACTGATGTACTTCAGTTCAGAGTTAAGTGCCTTTTTGAACATGGGCATTTCATTTCAAGTCATATAATGGGTCTTTTGAATAATTAATTAATATTGAAGTGTGGGATATTTATTTGTTATGATGCCTAGCTGAAATGTCCGATTTTAGTCATCAGCTGGATAAGCTGATTATATTTTCAGATAGAAACTTTGTGCTCCAAGTCGCAGTGAAGTGAGCCCTGCCAGGTGTGCTATAAATATACTGTTAATACGCTTTACTTGCTTTAAGGTTAGTGAAGAATTACACTGCAGTTAACTCAAGAAGAAGCCACTTCTGTTTTTCGTTCTACAGTCAGATAAACATTCACTGTGATACCTGCAGTCACGCTTTGATGGCAGAGAGAAATTTGCTATGGATGTAGAAATTTAAGGTCGCCAGTTATGTGCTACTGATGCTCTACTGAATGTCTAGCTACAATCTCACCGGTTTAATGGACACTTAACACTCATGTTTTTTCTTTTCTAAATTGATGTGCTTGTTTGCCTCCAAAATGTGAATTAAGGAAGACAGTTTGAATAAGTACATAATTTCATAATGTACAGCGACACGTTTGGCCAATTACAAATACTGATGCTCAGTAGTTTGATAAGAGGAATAAATGTGTCATAAAAGGCAAAAGTAAAAACTGAGCAGGAACTCAGGTAATTCATACTGCTGTATTAGAGTCTCAAAGCAAAAAATAAGCTTGATATATTTTAAAGAAAGAAATAAAAATCCCTGTGATGGATTGGCGACTTGTCCAGGGTGTACCCCGCCTCTCACCCGATGTCAGCTGGGATTGGTTCCAGCCCCCCCGCAACCCTGTACACAGGATAACCGGTTGAAGAGTGAGTGAGTGAGTGAGAAATGTAAATGCAAAAAAAGTATCTCTGGTGCATTTTTGGACTGTTTGAAAAAGGGTGTTATTTGACTTCTAAAATCTATTTGGAGACATCTAATGAAAGTTCAGTCAATTACATTTTAATTCAGTGCTTCAGGTTTAAAAACATTATTCTCAGCAACTATTTAGAGATGTTTAAAACAACTGCCTACATGGTTTCTGCTGCCTCTCAATGAAATACATACAAATTTATGATTCTCATAAAGAGCCCCCATAGAGTCAATCTGTGTCAACATTGAGTAACCATCATGAATTTAGTCCCCTGCATTGCTCATTTTTTAAATCATTATTCACTTGTAAAAGTGCCTTCACACCTTATGCCCAGGCCCTAGGATGATAAAAATATATGAGAATATTTGTCATTCCAGGGGGTCCCACTGTGTTTTATAGGTAATGGGCCGCCTCGCCTGAAACAATGATCATTTTTGCAGCAGTAATAGAAAATGTATACATTTTTATGAAATAAAACAATAAACTTCAGGGTAAATTAGCCGAGTTGCTATCTCAAACAGCAAATCCTCCATTTTAATAGTGGCTATTGTTTAGGCCGTTGTCTACTGATTTAATATAAGACCAGATGTATCAGGGTGAAACCTGAAAATCCAAGCAGTACATGTGGTGAAAAGAGCTGTTAGGTGCTAGAGTGCCGCTCCACTGCTGACCTAACATTACAGGATGGAAAGTGTTTTGTTTCACGTATTAAAGTGACTGTGTTAATTAGGCAGTGCACAGTAGGCTGTTGAAAACTCGTAAACCCAGATTTTTAGTTGGCAAAGATATAGTCATTAAGTTTGAATGCTCACCCTTTCAGATCAGTTTATAATACTATATTTTATTTTCCAAAAATGAAGAAGAGTATTTACACTTAGTAAAACACTGAAATGGTTTTGTAAGATTGTTTGTTCCAACTGTATTTAATAGTTTCACACACAAATCCCCATTATTTGTATTAAAATGTCAATTATACCTGTATAAAAAAGTCAATGTGATGTTTTAGTTAAGACACCTGAGTATTTTTTTCCTACTCACTGATTCACAGTTCACAGAAATCCATCACTAAAATTGTGTTTGATTATATTAGTAAGACTAAACTGAATAGTTCATATTTCAACTTGTGCCATACAGTTTCAAATGCAAAATATGTAAATGATGTCCAAAAATAAACATTTTATTTATGTATTCCTTGAAGCAGCATCTCATTTTATATAATCAATCTTCAAAATGTGGACTGAGTGTGGGTATAGGTTCAACTGTGCTTCAGCATTTGTGATATAACAGCCTAAATTTGAAATGCTTTTACTAATTTATGTGCAAAACACATTTAGCTGACGCTTTTATGCAAAGCGAAAGCGATGCAATTGCTGTACATGTCAGAGGTCGCACGCCTCTGGAGCAACGAGGGGTTAAGTGTCTTTCTCAGGGACACAATGGTGCATGTCTCCCAGTGGGAATCGAACCCATGTCTCTCACACCAAAGGCAAGCATCTTATCTATGCGCCATCACCATAATGGTAATGGTAATAAAGTTAATAAAAAATTAAAGCAGTGATACATATTTATTTCAGTCATCGTAGATTTGTCTACCGTTTAGCAGGAGACTATTGCTGCCGATTCTAAGATCTGCTGTACTTTAGAGACTCTTGTCTGTTAACGTCCTTAAATGTCCCGCAGATTAAAGTGCACGGAGGTTTTTCATGATAGTAATTCCAATTAAATTCTTGCTTTAATGTTGCCACTGTTTACATATCCTTTTAATCCATTCAGAAGTCAGACTACATCCTCATCATCCTCAGTTGTGGAAAAAGTCCAGTATTCTAGCTGATTGAAGTTTTACCTGAATGTGAGAAACATCTTGGCTGCAGCTAAACTCCTGCAGGGGGCAGCACCTCCCCGCACAGCTCCAACTACAGGAGCGTAAACCGGTGAAGAAGACCACACAGGCTGAGCGGTGCGGGAGTGTTTGTAGAGGTATTTCAGACACATTTGTTTTGACAACTTTCTAATTCCCTGTGATGATATGTTTTACCCAGGCGCCAGTTTGACTGAAAGCTAAGTCTCAAAACCAGCAACAAGACGACACTTCAGTCTGAAACTCACCAGTTTTTAAAGTGTTTCGCTTCAATATTCACGTTAGTTAGCTAGCTAACGTGAGGCTATTTGGGCACTGCATTTTTCTCAACAGAAACTAACATGTTGAATAACTTAATGTAAAAAAAAACACACACGAGCTTTAGCTCAAATGTTTTTCTATTTAAATGTCGAGTTCAGACTGTTTTAGCTGGCTAACGTTACCTGAACCAGCTGATTCAAGGTACAAGGTAGATTAATTAATCATCATATAACATGAGGGTTGTAAAATGAAATTCCGTTTGTAGTTCCCTTCTGCTACAAAGCAGAAAATATTACAACAATCAATTTCGTTTAGAATATTGCTTAACTTATCTGACACGAGAGCAGAATGACATTTGGTTTTAGCCAG